AGATACGAGCTGCGAGCTTCGAGCTGCGAGCTGCCGAAGACCTTCAGTGGGCGTTGACTACAGTTCAATGCATGCCGCACTGCGCGGCATCTGAACACCCTAACACAGAGTGGGAGAGAGAGATGGAGAGAGCCACACTAGCGCACGCGAGTGCTGAACAAATTGATTAGCTGCTTCAGGCAGAAACAATCAAGTGCGAAGCAATTAAAATAATCAATTACAGCGTCGATCGAAGCTGAGCCGAATAGTGTCACGCTGGCATGTAAAAAGAGATACGCCACACAGATGAGGACCAACCAAGCAGCCGACAAACAACCGAGTCACTTGGTCAATAGCATTTTAGTTGCGGTCAACGCATCTGGCAAGTGCACAGAGCCAAACACAGCGCGACAGCCAGCAACATGCGCATTTCGATACAGATACAAACAGACGCGGCTTAAGTTAACTGTTGCAGATATAGATACAGGTACAGATAGAGATAGAGATAGAGATAGAGATAGAGATAGAGATAGAGATACAACTGCAGCTGCACCAAATCAAATTTATTAACAGCTAGTGCAATATATGAAGATACAGCTTTAAGAACGTATTCAGATTCAGATACAAAACTATCTAGATAAAGTTGGAGTTGCAAATGGAGATAGATAAAGCAGATGCAGATATAGATGCATTGGGAGATACATTTAAAGATACATATAATAAGACAGATACATTTGTGGATGCATATCAGATGCATTAGCATGTACAATGCAGATACTTTGAGAGATAGTTGCACAGATACAGATACATTTTATATATATACATGGAAAAATATCTAATGAAAGATATCTTATCAGATAGAGCTACAGATACACATATATTGTCAGATATAGACCAGATGAAGATTTAGATATTCAATGTACAGTTTCAGGAATTGGCACAGATGCATATGCAGATACAGATACAACACAGATAGATAGATATTTAGACTGATATACCAATATATATAAATATAAATATGGATTCATATAAGGTTATAATTATGGATTTGTATATAGATACAGATACAAATAAATAAATATATATATATATATATATATATATATATATATTTATGCATATATAAATATTAAGATACATTTGCCGCAAACAGATAGATAAATAGATACTGATACAAATATAAATTCATTTATCAATGCATTTGAAAACACAGCTACAGATACAGATATAGACAGGGACAGAGATGATTCCAACATCTGAAATACTTCAGATTTGTATATAAGGTTCAAGCTATGCCTAGTGAAATTCAACTATCGATTATTATCGATAATAATAGAGAGAGTTATCAACTTACGATATACTGGAATATACTTGAGCAACTTCAAGTCTCTCGCTTTTGTGGCCAACTCAGCTTGTCGTTCAGCTCGAGAATATATATACCGTGTGGCACGCCTGCTTCTGCTTGTTACACACACTTTGACAATACGATTATAACCCCAATTATATATAGTGTATGAGCACACATAGTGCGCTCTCTGCAAATTCGTTTTGTTTTGCAAGTTTTATGGCCTTTTGTTAGCTGTATCCCTACATGCATCTGGTCGGCTATCTGTACATAAAAGCATGTGTACTATTTGCTAATGGTGTTTGCAATCTATGCCAGATCAATGACATCATCGAGCTGCAATGCGCTTAGAAATACTTTGCTGTTGTTTTGTATCTCACATCTCCGATTTGTTTTGTCGCTGCCATTGGAAGCCATCGCGACGCCTTGAGAGCAAATGCTATTTGTGTCCTTGTTGTTGTTGCTGTTGCTGTTGCTGTTGCTGTTGCTGCTACTGCAATTGTGCAATTTGACATTGCTGAAAGCGCATAGTCACAACACAGTTGGCATGGGTGGCTCAAGAAGTTTGCCATTATTGGCATAGCTGTTGCTATAGATGCCTTGGAGCCACCCTCGCCTGCTCTGCTGTTCTCTTCAGCAAATTAAATTGCAATTGTGAATCATCCGCTTCTACCTGGTGCAAAGGTGCTGCCACTGCGATCGCCCACTAACTATCAATTATGTCGCCTATCAGAGCCAAATTGTCGCAATCTGTCACAGTCTAGTTAGTGAAATGAGCAACGCGTTTTAATTTCGATTTCACATATTATGCAAATCAATCAACATTTTGGCCCAAGCTGTTATTTCGGATGTGCGAATCGCGCGTTAATTTGCCAACCATTATGTATATGTAAGATATTCAAAGCAGCCCGCGGCGCTCCATCTACACATCTGTGCAGCATCCATCAATAGCTCAACTTGCATTCCACTGCCCAGTCGAGCGACTCTCGTAGGGCCGCCCGGAGATAGCCAAATTAATTACATGTCAGCGTGGATGGGCCAAAATAGTTGACGACAGTCAATTTGGCAACAGACTTCGATATTAATTATGAAGAAACATGAGAAGGAAACTTTGCCTGCAAACGGAGGTGAGCATTAGAGAAGAGGAGATGCGTGTGCATGTAGAAGAGTCTCAGGAAAACTTAGAATAAGATCTAAAGCTGAAGCACTACGAACAGTTTAAAAGATTTCATAAAAGAAGAAATACAACTATATGCAAACAGATACATGAATAATCTACATAACCACGATAATGCTCTAGCACTAAGACTACTGGATGACTCAAGCAACCACAGGCGAATCAAAAGATTTCATGTCCTAGACCTGCCCCACAGAAATAGATAAATGTGTAAAGTAGAAAAATATGTGGATTGATCTCATTGGAGACAGATTGTCAATAAAAAAAATTAAAAAAAAAAAAAAAAAAAAAAAAAAAAAAATTATCGATAAATTCTTCTTTGTACTTCTTTCAAGTATTAGCCGAATATAAGAGCCGGAGACACATCGAATGGTATTTAAGTTTTTTCAGTGTTTATAGACGATTGAAGAACATTTCTTAAATTAAAAATATATTTGGTTATATTCCTTTTTTTTGACTCTTACACACAGTTGAATACCATATTTATTTTCCATCTCTCTCTTTCTCTCTAAGGATATCTTACTCTATGTCTCTCTCTCTCTCTCTTTTTGTATCCCTATCTCCATCTCTATCTTTCCCTTCCTCTCTCTTTCTTTGTTCTTCTCATTCTTCATTTCTCTCGTCTCTTTTCTCTCTTTCTCTCCCATCTCCTCCTCTCTCCCCTTTATCTCCCTTCCTCTCCATATTTTGTCGTCTGTATTCCTCTCCCCCTTGCTACCTTCTCCTCTTCCCATCTCTACCTCTATATCCCTCTTTTCTTTCTATTTTCTTATATCTCCCTCTCTATCCTTCCATCTTCCTCTATTTCCCTTTCTCTACTCTCGATTTCTCTCATCTCCTTATGTCTCAACGTTTCTCTCTCCCTGCCCCCTCTTGCTCTCTCCCTCTCTCGCCATTCCTTCCCCTCACCCTCTCTCTCTCTCTCTCTGTCTCTTTCTCACTCTCTCTCTCTCTCTCACTCACACTCTCTCGATCTCTCTCTGTCTCTCTTCTTCCATACATAATCAATCGTCAAAATATATTGACTTCCATTCGTTAGTTATTCTCTTAGCTGATTTGTGTCTTGGTCTTTGGCGTGGGCTGTCAAATGAATGCGTCACGTGCTGGCCACAAGAACAACGCCAGCAGCAGCAGGCGCAGTCGCATTTACAACGTTTACCGGTTTAAGGCACAGCTGATCGTTGGGCCGCTTCATTCATGAAGCGTCAATTATTACAAATGCTCTCAATTGCTGCGCGCGCAATCTCTCTCTCTCTCTCTCTCTCTCTTTCTCTGCTGGCATTGCGCGCTCTTGCAGCTTGGCGTCGCTCTGTGTATGTGGCGCGCGCTCTCTCTCAGCTGTTACAGCGCTTTAAAAGTGTTTGACGGCGCCTGCGCGCAGCTCAGACAGTTGACGGCGTTCGCAGCGAGCGCTTGGCCAAACGTCGCGTTTCTCACATTTTTTTTCACTCTCTCAATTGCTGGGTTTGTTTTTGCCGTTATCCCGACTCAGCCCCAAAAAAAAATAAAAAAAAACACCAAAATGCAAATGCCAATGCGTGTGTGTGCGTATGCGTGTGTGTGTGAGTGTGTGTGTGTGCGTGTGCGTGTGTTTGCTGCGCGCGCGGAAGTGTTAAGCAAAGTCCGACGCGCGAAATGTGGCCACATCCTGCAATTACGCGCGGCTTTGCCGCGTTTCGTGCGCGTTTTGTAGTGGACATAAACATTAATTTATTTTGTGTTAACGTTGTTTTATTTCCATTTTTTTTCGAGTGTTTTTCGAGTGTCGATTGGGCGGCATTTCCGCATTATTCAAACTGAAAAGTGCTTCAAATAAACACAAGAAAAACGAAAATTGAGAAACATAATTGATACGACAGCAGCAACAGAAGCAACAACAACAAGTGCCATAAAATTAATAATAAAATGCAAATTAATAACAATAATTGATAAATACACTTAAAAAAAAACATGCGAATTTATGAGCAATTTTTTACTCCACTCTCGCTGTGTGTTCCGCGCTAATAGTTTCCTGTTTATAAAAAAAATATAAATACAGAAATATGCTATAAAAAAAACTGTGCATAGTGTTGCAAGCTTTGCTGGCGCTGTGGCATGTGGCATGTGGCAGTTGCAGCAACGTCAACAGCATAAAAGTCGCTGTTGTTGTTGTTGTTAATGCCTGCGGCTAAAACACGCTTAACAAAATACTTTTTACTTTTATGGCCTTAACGCGCTGCCAGCAGCAGCAACAACTGGCAACAGGAGTGCGTGACCCCAACACACAATTCACTTGCCACAGCTGTATCTCTCTGTGTGTGTTGCCTGCTTCCAAGCCAGCAGAAATTTCACTTTGCAGCCAAAGTTGTTGCTGCTGCTGCTGCTGCTGCTGCAGTTGTCGCCTTAGCCTGACTCTCAACTTATTTTGTTTTGTTTTTTTTTTTTGTTTTTATCTTTTTTCTGTTGTTCAATATGAAAGTGAAATGCAGCTGCAGCAGCATTCAACAGGTCAATAGCAAATTAAACAAATACAACGAAACGAAAAGCGAAATCAAATTAACAACGCAACAGCAACAATCAACAATAAACGAGCTAAATTGTTATTCAAGCCAGAGAGCAATATGTTGAAAGGACATCAAATGCTAAAGCTGATGCTGATGCTGATGCTGGGCTGTTGCACTTTGGCCATGGCCAAGCCACCGGCGGCTGCTAAGCAGGAAGCTAGCAGCCAGCCAAAAGGTAAGTCGCTTTATTTGCAACGTTTTTTTCTGACCCAACTTAATTAGCGGCTGACAGCGAAAGTGACACCTCGATCAAGACTCGACCTGGCCGCGGCCTTTCGCTTTGAGAATTGTGGTGCATAAAGTCATCAACAGCAAAAACAACGGCGAAACGAACCATAACATTAGCATGAACCGGTTGCAGGGTGAGCGAAAGAGACAGCTAGACATAGGCAGCGGGAGCAAGAGAGAGAGAGAGAGAGAGTGGTGGGAAGAGAGGGCGAGCGGGGCAGCAGCTGATGACTTTGATTTGTGGCATCGCTTTCACTTTGGCAGCTGCTGCTGCTGTTGCCGTTGCCATGCTTGTTGCTTTTAGCTTGCTATGGGCGGCTCGAGGGCGTGGCAAGTCTCAAATTTTGCCCCGCTTAATAATGTTTTCGGCCAAGAGCAAGCCAGCTCAGCTGAGCTTTACAGCTGTAATTGAATCACATATCATTGAACATCGAACTTGAGCTGCCAAAAGAAAAACAAAAATAGAAATGCAAATGCAAATTAAAATAAGCAAAAGCTAAATATACTCCCATCAAGTTGAAAAGTCGAGTTAGATCAAGTTCAAGCAAACGTTTTCCTACACGAAAGTTAACAGAGTTGTATATAATGAAAGCTGGGAATATATGCATAAAGATATATATAAAAAGAGCAAAGAGACGTTCATAAGAATTCAAATAAATAAATAAATAAATAAATTTGAAATTTCTTAAAAATATTTTTAGGGCTAAGTAAAAAATAAAAAAGTGAAAAAGTGTAATTAGACTCAGTAAAGTTTATCACAAAACTCTTTGAGTATATATATATATATATGTATGAAAAGTTGATATAATTTAATTCTATAAAGAAATATATTTAAAAGTTTCAATTGCTCTTCTCTCTCTCGCACTGTTTTTCTTTTTCACTCTCTCTCTCTGACTGCTTCTCTCAGTCTTTCTCTCTCTCTCTGTCTTTCCCTCTATATATATGCCCATTCATATGTCACAATCGATCCGTTTAGCTCGCTATATCAAATGTCAAAACTCTATTTAATTACTATATCAAATTGTTGTCAGTTTTTTGTGCTTAAAATGCTCATAAATCTTGGCATTTATGACTTTTATCAATCTATAAATCTCTAAATTAATCAAAAATTGCTCTATCACAAAAAACGCGCTAGATTTTTTCAATAATTGAGTTATTTTATAGAATGTTTAGATAATTGATTTTCTTGCCCAAAATGAAGTAATTCCACTTTATGACTGTATTTTAGTCTGTCTACTATATGCTATATGAATTATGCTTTCTGTATATATTTCCGAGTCTTACTTATTGTACAATTTACTATCCAATACATTTCATATTAAAGTTATATCTTCAAGACTTTTTGAGAATAAAGTGAACATACAGTCAAGAACTTTTGAACTCTGCACACTTCATAATAACTTCATATTCTGCTCTTAACATAGGCGTCTTGCCATAAAAAGATACATTAAGTTGGAAGACTTAAAGTCTTAAAATATTTTTAATGTATTATTGAAAAATCTTCATATTTACCCTCTTCCCTCTCTGTGTGTCCCTCCGCCTTATCATAAACTCTTAAATTATTTACTCCACGCCCCCTACATAATAAGTGATCAAAAAAGCTGACCAAATCTTTAACAACTTTGCAAATATTAAAGACAGCTGCCACGCCTTGACTCCTCCTAGCTCGCCGTCAATTACCAGTTGAGTTACCGGCTAGGTGTCTTCCCGACTTGCCAATTTGTCTGTTAAGTAACAAAAAATGAGAAAAGAAACGAGCGAAACAGCGAGCTAATTAATCAGAGCTCACAAGACAACAAAAGACACACGCGGACATCGTATACAAATGTCTACACATGTAACACTCTAATGCGATCCACAAACATTTTCCCAGATGCTGAAGCTTACGACATCGCCAGCAGCAGCAGCAGCAACGGCAGCAACAACTCTTTGGTGCCCATCTCTGGCCAAACCGGGTATCTTCGCTTGTCCCATCTGCCTCGTGCACTTGCTTCCGTATTGCTGTTGTTGCTGCTGCTGCTGATGTTGCAGTTAGCCAAGTTAATTTCTTTTGTTTATCAACCAGCAGCGGCAACAGCAGCTGCTGCTGCTGCCTCACTTCTCACATGGCGCTTCTCGCTTTTCCCTTTAACTCTGTGTCATTATGTCATGCGGTCGACTGAGTTGTCTTCAGTCCCAGTTGCCCACTCGCCCATTTGCCCCTTTTGGCTGATAGGCGCAGCCCAACACATATATATACATATATATATATGTACTTTATGGCCTGGCTTGCCCATTGTTCAGCTGTCTTCAGCCAGCAGCACAATTTTCTTTTCTTCACATTTTCCCTCAGTTTTTGTTAGCGAATAAAATATAATAATAATAAAATACAATGTATTTTAAGGCTCACACAAATTCAGTGGCATTATTTATGAGTAAGCCACAGTTAGACAGCGCAGGGCATGGTAAACGTGCAGATACTCTGTGGGAAACAAAATCATTAAAATTATAATATAATGATAATCAAAGTTATCGTAGTTAAACTCATGATACATAGTGGTCGGCATCTGAGTACTTAAATAACGCCATAAAGAATCGGAATTTACGAAAATATTAAATTCTTGATACTCTCTAACCCAACCTCGCAGAGTAAAAGTTTTGTTTATTTTTATATATTTAGTTGCATATTATTATTTTATTATTATTTTTGGTTTAAATTATATCTCTGATATCTAGTAAACTTTAAGCCAATAATTATTACAATACACAATTTCTATATATATTTATTTATTCTATATCATTATTATATGAGCTCAACAATTTCTTACTTTTTCCATAATAAATTTTCTTTCTTTAAAAGGTAAAATTATTTCATTAAATTTCCATAAATAAAATTATACATTTAGTTATTGACATCACAAGCAGAGACACGAAAGGTGTGAAAAGTTGTAACTATAAAAAAAATATAAATTATATATAATTATACAAAAAATATATTATTTATGTTGGGTCACACTCTCAACACTCAACTCTATTTAGCAATTTTTTTTCTTTTTTTTTTTTCAAATGTTTGACATTTTAATTGAGATTGAGACACGCAACGAATAAAGCACACAAACTTACAATTATATACAGATACTTACTTATATCTATATATATATATATACTCTTTTTTTGATGAGTTTGTCAAGAGACGCCCCCAATTCGTAGCGGTAAAATTGTAAGCAAACAATTGCCATTCATTTGCACAATGAACGAGGCTGAGCTGAATGAGTGCATGAAATAATACGCATATGAATCGAAAGATATATGTATTCATGCTTAATACAATTAATAACGATCTCAATTGCTGTGCCTCAAAGGCGCGTTGCATACGATGTGAAGATCTATCTGCCTCTTGCCTCCATTATAAAGATTGTGAACCGTTAGTTTCATATGCTTAGACGATTATTTGTAATACTCAAACGAATATCATTTTTTATTTTGCGGTTTCCCAGTCTTGGCTGGAAACTGGGTCTTGCGACTTTCAGTTGGGCTAAGCTAAGCAGTTAGCTTTATTACTTCATTATTTTTAGTTCATTATGGCTTGAGGCCGACTTTCCAATTGTCAGTTTATCGAATGTTAATCATATCAATACCTTATTTATTATTTACTTAATTTACTCAGCTCAATCTTAATTTATTTTATATAGATATTTTCTATTTGATTTAAATTTAATTTTATTTATTTATTTATTTTATTTTATCTATGAGAGTTTTCACGTTGACATGAAACTTTTTACCTCTAAACAAAATATATTTTTAGTTTGTGCTTCAAGTCTTTAACTCATTTGTGTTACTTTTTTATTTGCTTAAGTCTCCCTCATCTGTTAATTGTCTTAGTTATTAAGACTATAATTTAGCACAGCTAATGATATATATTTAATGATATATTTATTAGCAATAGTCTCTAAAATTAGCATCCAAATATAGAAGTCAGATGATATTGCTAATAAGTATATCATTTGGCGGAAAAGAAATCAGAAAACAGAAAAAGATATTTTTGCTTCACCAAGCCCCTGAAAAAGGCGTTTACTAATCAAATTCAGCCAAACTGTTTAACAAATATATATATTTATATAAGCTCTTTAAATACAATATATATTTATAGCTATGTAAGATATGGCTTTGTTACCATTGATCATGCCTGCAGACTCCAGTATATATATACATATATATGCATATATATATATATATATGTATAGATGAAGTCTCTAGCTCTAGAAAGCCAATCTATTGCATGAGTATATCAATTATGATCGCTAAGACTTTGAGCTGAAACCATTCACAGCAAAGCCAATTTTCTTAAAAATAACTTTTAAAGTTTCTGTTTTTATTACATTATTATTATTATTCATATTTTTAATTCGTCTTAATTACCGTAATAAAACTTTTGTATAATTCAATGAAATATTAGGTTTGTTGGCCATAAACGTTTCAAACTTTAGCCAAAATATGGAAAGGTTTTCAGACAGCTTTTCGTGTGTGCGTGCGTGTGTGTGTTGGGCATAGAAAGAGTTAAGCTTTGTGATTTGGAACAAAGCGTAATTTCGTTAATTGTTGTTGTTGTCATTGTCATGGTGTACTGTTGTTGTTGGTTGTGGTTAAATGCACTTTAACGGCTTTTAAAAATTTTAAATGCTGAGTTTTAACCTTTAAACGGCAACAAGCAACGCGGCTGACTGACTGAGTGACTGACCGACTGACTGACCGTAATTACACAGTTTATGTGAGAGCTGATTTTATTAAAGGTTTCGTTATTCCAAATGCCAAAACGCATTTCGGGGCAATTGAGAAATTGAAACCGAAACCGAAACCGAAACCGAAACCCAAGCCAAAACCCCGATTCCGATTGAAGTTAAGGTTGAAATTGAAATGAAAAGAAAATACCGCGACCGCGCGTCGATTCATCAATCATTGATCTAAAGC